CTCTCAATTTCCCTCAAAATATTGTTAAAACTTGTTTTCATTAATTTTTATGTGGATACGAGGAAACATAAATTGATACAAACATAAAATTAGTTAAAACAACATTCAGTCGTTTAAAACGGCAGTATGCCATTTTACTGTTGGTTTTAAATTGTGTATGAAAAGTAGAACGAAAGTGAGGATTCATGTTTGAGGGATTTGGTAAATTTTTGTTTCAAATTGGATATTTTAGACATTTCAATTGAAGGGTATTTAAGACTTTTAATGTATGATTTAATAGACCAAAGGCTATTGGAACAAAAACTATTGAGATAGACTATTTTACCAATAATTATGGTTGACTGGCCTTTTTAAGCAAAAACCCCTAGTTTGTATTAGCGGAAGTCCCAAATCTTTGATAAATTGGCAACTTGGGTCCAAATAGATGGAAACCATCCATCTGACCGCTAGTTATCAAGAAAAAGTGAATTTTGACAGAATTAAAGGGGGTAAATGGTTACTTCAGAGTTACGACAATAAATAAATAAATAACCAAAATAACCAAAAAAATCAAACAAAATAAAAAATAAATAAAAGATTATTGTTCTTTTCCCCACCCGACCCAACCACCCAACCAAAAAATCAATTGTTGTTGACCTTCGCCATCCACCATTATGCAGCCGCACAGCCTACGGCCACCACAAATTGTCACCACCGTTGGAATCATTGCAATCGTAGCCCCTAATCAACCTGAAAAAACTCAAAATCATTGCAATGCAGTCCCTGAATCAACAGCACAAATAATATCACCCAATTTAAAAACCACAGCCTCAAACATAATCAATTGAGTACATTTTGCGAACACCAGACATGACCCAACTGGTAGTGTGATTTTGGGGATATGGGAGAATGACTTGTTTCAAAGCTTGTAATGCAATGCATATATTTCTCAACCTTGAATTCTCGAAGTCAAAACAAATACATGTAATCATTGTGTATTGAGTTTTTTAATGGCAACGACCATGGAATCTCCATGCCCATTTGGAGGCATAACTGTAACCTTATAAACACTACATAAACTGCTTTCCCCAATCTTCAGTAGCATGTTGAAATTTATAGTTGCTTCCCTCAGTTTTGAAACAGAAAAAACCCTCAAATTTGGTTCTCTTTCTTTATAAATTTATGTATACTTTGAGAGTTTCCGTTTTTCTGTTTTTGGTTTTGGGTATTGGGGGCTAGGGTGAGAGATCTCATGAGTGTCTATGTATACATAGGAGGAGGAGATTGGCGATGGTCGGAGGAGGATTTTAGATTTTGATTTGATTTGGGGTAGAAGATGTTGTTCAGAGTTATTTTCCTTTTTTTTTTAGTTTAGTTTGTTTAATCTTGTTTGAGCCCTATCATTCTGACAAATAATGCATTTTTGAACAGTTGATTAATGAAGAATGTGTGGTTAGAAAATTGGAAATTTTTTTGAGTTTGCGTGATATTATTTTATTGAAAATTGTGAAATTGAAAAGAAGAGAGAATGTATTTTAGAAATAACAATGATCAAATAATGGTTTAATATGATAATTCAAAAGTTACCATTTTATCCTTTTTAATGTGTTCAAAATTGGTCAAATTTCAATTTTCTTGGTCAACTAGTGGTCCATCCATATGGATCTCAGCTGTAAATTTATCAAAGATTAGGGACTGTTTTGGTATAAATTGAAGAGTAGGGTAAAATGTGCAAAAAAAAATCAAAGGTTAGAGACCGCTGCTGAAATTTTCCCTTAAATTAAGGTTGAAAATCAGTTAACGTTTGACTGACAATAGTAACAAGAAGACGAAAACTCAAGATGTCTGAAAGAATTGGATAATCCACGATTCCAATTTCCAAATCTACACCATACGGCAAATCTTCTCTAAAGCTTCGAATCTTCATTTCCCTGCATTATTTCTCAGTTCAATTCTCAACAAGTTCACGTTACTTAATTTATCCAAAAAATCGAAAAACCGATTTTTGTTACAGCTTCAGCATCAATTCGATAATCAATGAGACGTCTATCGGTGTTTCTCGTATTATGTGTTTTGCATTTATTTGTGGTATATTCGGGTTCCGCAGGAGAATATTTTAAGGCCCATAATAGTGTTACTGGGAAAAAATTCAATGGCGTTTTTCAAGCCCCAGCTCGCCGGTCTCTGTTATCAGATGCGACACAGTAAGTTTTCTTTCTGTCTGCGAATCTGTCATAGTTTATGAATGTTGATCTTTATTTTTTAAAGCCAATTTTAGTTTTTACTTGGAAATTGGGATTTTTAGGTCGGCTGACGTTCTGACAGGGTGTGTAGAATTAGGGTCTGTATGATCTTTAATCAAGATTTCAATTTTTATATATTTAAAATGCTTGTATGAATTGTATTGGTCTGTTCTTTGTATTCAGCCAAGTCGCACTATGGTATTTTGTAGTGATTTTGCAATAAACTTCTTTGCCATATCAGGGGAACTGAAACTGATACTGCATTGGTGGCTGGTTTGGATGGTACAATTTATTTATTGGAGCTCGGTTCTACGAAACCTCTCTGGTCGTTTTCATCAGGACGAACAATTTACTCATCATATCAGGCCTCTGTTTATGATACGGAAAATGTATCAGGAATAGGAGGCCGTTACTTCATTGATTGTGGGGATGACTGGGAATTATATGCACACAACAGCCTCGGCAGCAAACTGGTATGATTGATCACTTACAGAGTTCTTGTTGAAGTATTGCTTCTCATATGTTCCTGTAAACAAGTATTATTCGAAGTGGTTTTTTTTTTTTTTTNTTTTTTTTTTTTTTTTAGGATTTTCTAATAATCCATGGGTGATAAGTGGCAAGATTTATTAAATTCTTTTTCCTGCTGAAACGATTTCAAGTGCTTTCTATGATCAGTGTCTTGTAGTTGTAATCTTTCTATTAAAAATTGTGTTTTTATGATATGTACTACCTTGGGGGTTCAGATGAGTGGGTGGATAGTCCAAACCTCTATTTTTCTTTCTCACATGAACATGAAAAATGCACATTTGATAAAGATCTCATCCTGCACTCAATTGCTTGTAGCTGAATAGCTTACATGTACTATAAATTACAACTACCAAGAAGAATTGTATATGTTATCAAGATCTTGAGAGCATCACAAGAATTTGAAAACTACAAAAATTAGGAGAACTACCATAGATAATAAGATGCAGATAAAAGCGTTTGACAAAATTTTTAAACAATATCACTATTTAAATAATGTCGCCGGTTGTATTCAACATAACTATACGTTTGATAAGTAGTATTTTAAGGAGATTTCAGTCAGACCTAGGAACGTTTTCCTTTAAGACATAAGTTCACCCTTCTTATTTATGTGATGAGGAACACTATTCATTTATTTGAAAATGAAATATTAAATGTTGAATTAAGAATAAAGTCATTAGCCAGATAGAAGTAGTACGCCTTGTTATAAACTATGTTAGTTTGAACGGAGAAACAGGGAACTAGAATGAATGTCTGGTTATATTCCAAAAACTGTAGATGTGGTCAACCAACCGGTCCAACCATGAACTGGATGAATTAGCCACTGCTTGACTGGGTTTTCCCAGTGCCTATTTTCGAAAAGAGCCATTTTTTTTTTCCCAAGCGATTTAATCTTTACATATATCATGCTATCTTGTTATGAATATTCTTGACGTCATATAATCTTAATCTTTGGTTATTAATACAGTTTTTGTTTTTCAATTGTTGTGATATTTCATGCATATCATTTCTCTGTTGCAAAAAAAAAAACCCCTCCTTTCTTGTATGCCTTCCCTTTTATTTCAAACTTTCTTTCCCTGTTTGTATTTTGAGCAGTAACTCCATTAATTATCCCACCTCATCCAGCAAATGTTCCCTCTTCCCCGTCCCATGTGTGTTTGGAAGTATCATTGTTTTGTAATAGTAGAAGATCCCTCTGATTATGTCATAGGTTGTATTCATGATAAGTTTTGCTTTGATAAGTAGTATACTTAGGTCATTTCAGTTTTTCCGGGACTATATTTATGAATCCATTTTAGACATAAGTTAAACTTGCTTTCTATGTGAGGAACTATATTATTTGAAATGTATAATCAAATATAAACGGGGTCATGAACGAGTTAGAATTATTTCTTATATGCTAAGTAATTATTCGTCTCTTTTTTTTTTTTGCAAATTTTCTTTCTTTATTCTTGTTCTTCTCTTCCTTCCCTTTCTTAGTAGACATATTTTCCTATTTCTATCTTGATAAGAACTTCAACTAAATCCCTTCCTACCTCCCTCTCCACCAACTTCTAGAGTTGCCTCAAATTCCATTGGACACACTGTTAGTCATCTTGGAGGCGATAGTTAGTTTAATATTTCTTTTTCTTCATAACTTAATTTTTTGGTAGCTTTTTAGTCTGTTTTGAATTGAATGTATTCTCTCATCACATTAGGGAACACGGTGAAATTGTTTGAAAAGAGACGTTAGACTGTGGTCCTGAGTAAAAGAAAATTACTCTAATTATTAAATTGTGGAGCCTAATTCTTGCCGCTTCGTGAAGTGAGTACACGGATTGATCTTCGCAGTGAGGTTGCCTTGGGTTGGAAGGGGCAGGAAGCTAAGAAGCATGAATAAGGATACGTAATTCGAATACGATACGATACGGATACGCCGATACGACATTTGAAAAAAAAAATTAGAATACGCGGATACGTGTATAAATAAAATTCATCATAATTTCATTAATATAAAAAAAATATTAAAACTGAAGCATAATAATAAAAAGAAAATAAAATACTAAAACATTTTATCTTAATCATTAATTGTCCCAACTTTATTTTTTTCAACATCATCAATATCAACTTCTTCATATCATTAAAAATATCTCTCTCCAATTCTAGCTCATCTACTTATAGATGAGCAACCTCTAACAATCCAACACCTAGTCTCCTGTAATGTCCCATATTTTGGATTCTCTTTTTGAATAGAGATCTATTTTCTTGATAAAAGATATAGATTGCTAAGAATGAAAATCAATTCTTCAGCTCTTTGTGGAGTTATTTTATTCCAGACTCATAGAGTACACAAAAGAATATGTACTCCAATTTATTTCAGTACAAGATGAAAAGAATGATGTTCTACAAGTTTTATGCAATGCTTTGAAGCAAAGATGCATGTGAATCATGAAGTAGTCATAAGGTTTATGAATCTATATTATACCGATTAGTGATAGAATCAAACTCATACATAACATTCTTCTTTCAAGTGTCCTAATGTATCTGATTCGTACCAAGAATAATTAAAAAATATGAAACAATTAAAAAATACGTATTGAAAAATTAAAAAATATAAAATAATTAAAAAACGTGTATCCGATACGTATCGAAGGGTATAGAAGAATATTCAAGCTTGAATATGTATTGGATATGGATACTTAATGAGTTTACATGTATCCATGCTTCTTAGGCAATAAGTCCCACCTCTCAAGGGTGCGGGGGACGAAGCTCTTGAACCAAAATTTCATTATGGGCAGTTTAGGAAATTGTGTCTTAAATTTCATATTAAGAATTTGAGTTCTTGTAAATTTCGGGTTTGTCCTAAGGGAGCCTTCATTAAGCTTTTCAATCACCATCGTAAAAGAGAGAAAGAGGGGTTAGAGAAGATTTGTGTGCAATTTTCTCTTGTAAATTTTTTTCTTCATAGTGAATTACTTCAGTAGTTGAAGATGACATAGTCTTACATTGATGCGAATTTCTATAAATTTGTGTATCTTTATTTCTTTCTACTTATTGATTGCTTTTGGTGGAATAGAATTAGGATTTCTGATTCTCAACAATAATTGGAAGGATCTTGTTGTCTTACTTATTATTTACTATGGCTTATATTTAACCATATCAAGTTTTATTTGTAGTTTTTGAGTGCTGATTATTTTCAAGTACTCGCTATGCTCTCAAGTTCTTGATGACAAACAAAGTTGCCCATACTTCAATATGACTTTGACTGTTTGCTTTATTGCAAACACGGGCCATTTAATATGTAGGTTTATGCAACTTTGTGTTGTACTTGACATTGCATATGCCTACTTCTCATGTACTAACCAAATAGTGTGATATATGATAGTTCCAATGCTTAAATCTAAAATGGGCCCCGAAAGAGTATGTCAAGCAAACAGATTTGTCAGTGAGACTTGATATCCATAGCGCCATATTCCTTCCTCTTAGTCAATGGCGAGTGAGTGGTTGATGCATTGTTGCATATTTCCTTTGGTATGTGAACCGAAGAAATGAGTTTCGATATTGCAAGGAATAGGATTATGGACCTATTATGGAAATTGATTGGGTAGATGAAGGACTATTAAATTTCCTTTTGATGTGTCACAATAATATAATTTCTTAGCTGAACCTTCATTTGTTGGTAATCAAGTGCTTTATTTGCACTCTCGCCCCTATTCTGAACTGTGTGTGCTTGGCCGACCTGTCCTCTTAATGAATGCCATTTTATGTCAAAAATCATGAGGATGGCAGACATTCAGATCATTATTGATATGCAGGCAAGAGGAAATAATTTGTTCTAAGTGGCGTTTACCATGATGGCCTGTACATCTTTGAATTGTTTATAAAGTGTCATTAAATTTGTTCAATTTGAAATATAAGTGAAATGAGTCGTAATTACCACAAGCATTTTGATTTATTACAAGGCTATTAGGAATTGTATTATGATTGAATGAAAAAGAAAAATAGTAAACTCGTGTCCTTATTCTATTGATAAGAATTTGGAGCATGACAAATCATGTATAAAAAATGTTATTTAGCTCTTGTTTGATTTTGATTCTTTGATAGTGACTTCTCTCTACACTCATTTTCAACCACATATTCTCGAATAAAAATAAAATAAAATTTCATGTTTTCTCATAACATTTCCCTACTTTTTAACCACACATCCACCAAAAAATCACTTTTTATAAAATCTTTTTCAAACAAGGGCTTAGTTGCGTTTGTTCGATATTTTTACATACAAACTTTTTAACTATTATTTTTTTTTTAATTTTTGAAAATTACTGTAATAGTGCCACTTTAGGAGAAATCAATGAAAGAACGTCAATTCAAATCACTTTCTTACGAAACAAACAACAAGATAACTTAAATCATATTAATTATCCATATGTTTTTTTTCATGCCTCTTAATTCTGTATCGTCAATTGCATAATGTTTAGAAACTTATGAAGACCATTGAAGAGTACGTCAGTTCAACACCACAGATAGAAGAGAATGGAGGTATTGTACTTGGATCCAAAAGAACTACTGCATTTCTAGTGGATAAAAAGACTGGAAGTATCATCAATACATATAGTGCTTCTGATTCACCAGCCGCAATGCAGAGCAGTGAAAATGGTTTCTTCAATAATACCACTGTTGATGAGCAGGTTCAGTCTAGCTCCGACATAAGGACTGATCAGAAACGGCTTTACATCACTAGGACAGATTATACGTTGACATCATTTATTCCGAACTCGAACAAAGTTTTGTGGAACATGACTGTTGCTGAGATTGGTGCTGCTTTTCTCTGTCCAGAGATTGAAGAGTCACTTGAGCAGAGTACTTCGGATTCAGACTCTTCTGAACCTAGTCTTCCTTTTCCTATGCCATTGAATTGTCGATCAAGAGCTCGCGTCTATCGCTTTCGCGCGCACAATATATTTGAACCCTTCTCCAGGCATAATTGGCTGCCAGAGCCTCATGGTGAAGATCTCACGCTTCCAGCACCAAAATCAGATGCTTTTCCTTCACAACCAAATATTGATAAAGTTCTTGAACTTCTTCCTTCATTGCGCAATAATGATAAAATTCTGGACGTGCATTACCCCCAGGAACCTGAGGCTGTTCCCCCTTTTCAAATGTTGGATGATGAGAGTCGAAAATCTCATGTACAAGATGTGAAATTGTCATCAAATGATGGTTCTATGCTGTTTCCTGGCAACTTCAGCTCATTCCAGCTCATTCTTTTTTCTATTAGTCTTCTAGCTTTTGTTGTCTACCATTATAATCTGATCACTGTGGAAAAAGTAAAGTTGATTGCTCAGCCTTCTTATGTTACTGCTGTAAACATACCTTTGAAAAGGAAGAAACCTCGGAGATCTGGGAAGGGCAGAATAAACAGTGAGAAAATGGACAAAGAAGAAAATTTGGTTAATAACACTTTTAATGACTTTCTGAACCTAAATCAACTGAATTCTTACACAGATGGACGCACCATTGGTAAGTTATTTGTCTCAAGCAAAGAGATTGCAAAAGGTAGCAATGGAACCATTGTCGTTGAAGGGATTTATGAAGGCCGTCCAGTTGCCGTGAAACGCCTTGTGAGGGCCCATCATGATATCGCCTCTAAGGAAATTCAAAATCTTGTGGTGTCTGACCAACATCCAAATATTGTCAGATGGTACGGAGTGGAGCAAGACCAAGATTTTGTGTATCTTGCGCTAGAGCGCAGTGCTTGCAGCTTGAATGATCTTATTCATATATATTCAGAGTCCTCTATTGACGTAATTGTTAGCAAAAACATGGATTCAGAGTTTTTGACGGAGTATAGGGTCCATTTGGAATCTATAAAAGGCACTATGCAGGAGTTTGAACTATGGAAGGCAGATGGCTATCCATCACTCGTATTGTTGAAGCTGATGAGGTTATTAAATGTTCTACATAACACTTTTACCCGAAAAAAGAACTTCTAAAGAACGCACTGCCCTTTTATACCCTTCTAACTTTTTTCCCTTTCTTTTTTCAATTCAAAATTTAATCCTATTTGAAAACAGGGATGTGATATGTGGACTTGTACATCTCCATGAATTGGGAATTGTCCATCGTGATTTGAAGCCGCAAAATGTATTAATATTCAAAGATAGATATTTTTCTGCGAAGCTTTCTGATATGGGTATCAGTAAACGCCTTGTTGAAGACACATCTTCGTTGGGGCATCATGCTACAGGTAAAGCATATGAATCTTGGTCTGATTGTCTAATTATGATTGTATGTAGATCCTGTATGCAACAACCTTGTTGTCTTTCTTATTTCTATTTCATCCTCACTAGTCAGAGGAAAATATATTTAAAGCTTGTTGGGAAAGTGTTTATAAGCAGTTTCAATTATAAGTAGATAAAATTGAGTGGTGGATAAATAGGTAGTACTTGTGAGTCCTACGAAATGTATAGATAAAAAAGTGGTTTGACCAATTATAAACAATTTATGAACATTAGCCAAACACGGGCTTAGTCTAAGAATCAGAAAGTCAACATTTTATGATTTTAACTGGATAGTTTAAATGACCAGATATTTGGAAATGTTTACAGCCTTCACCTGTCATATGGCATTGGCCACTGTTTTACTCATATTACATTTACTATATGCTTGCTTGGTCATGTTTTAAGTGTTTATTAGCTCTGGGTTCTACGAAATGTGTGGATAATAAGATGATGGTAGTTGTGGCTCCTAAGAAAATGTGTGGATAAAAATTATGTTTGACCAGCTTAAAAAAAATATAAGCTTTGCCAAACATGCACTACGAAAAGTCATTTATTTGCTTTTATTGATTGAATTATTGCAGGCTGTGGAAGTTCAGGATGGCAAGCGCCTGAACAGCTTCTTCGTCAGCGTCAAACAAGGGCAGTCGATGTGTTTAGTCTAGGTTGCGTTCTGTTTTTCTGCTTTACTGGTGGTAGACATCCCTTTGGTAACCCTCTTGAACGTGATATCAATATCACTAAAAATAAAGTTGACCTTTTCCTGGTGGAACACATTCCAGAAGCTGTGGATCTGTTTTTTCAATTATTAAATCCTAATGCTGAAATGAGGTAATAAATATTGTGGTGACAATTGAAACTGCCTCTTAATAATGATTATCCCTTAATGCATAGTATGTTTTCACCTGGAAAGAATGTCTAGAACTTGATCAATCTTTTAGTTATATTTTTTGATCTTGTAGAAGCTTTTTCTGCATAATTGACCAATTCATTTTTGTTTAGATGAACATGAGAATTTCTGCCACCGACAAGATTGATCTCTACTCTGGATATTAAATACTCAGTACAGCAAAAGGGAAAAAAAAGATCCCAATATATTCATGAATATATTAGTAACAAAGTATTTTCCAACTTCTCATGTATATTTTGAAAACTTGAGAAAAAGAAATTAATGGATCGCTGAATAGTTTTCTTATGATTTCACCTCAAGAATTATCATTATTTGCACGAAGAATCTGACTGCATGGGTTCTTCTAGTACGTGTAGCAATGGACTAAACGGAGTGGCAAAAATAATTCAAGTATCTAAATCTAATTTTATTTCCACTAATGCTTATTTTTTTATTTTCAAATTTCATCTTTTCATTACCATGAACTTTTTAAATTTCAGGCCAAAGGCATCAGAGGTGCTTTACCATCCCTTATTTTGGAGCGGTGAGCTGCGACTATCCTTCCTCCGTGACACAAGTGACAGGATAGAATTGGAAGACAGAGAGACTGATTCTCCTCTCTTAAAAGCTTTAGAAAGTACAGCCCCTCTGGCTTTAGGTACAAAGTGGGATGAAAAGATGGAACCTGCATTTCTTAAGAACATTGGACGCTACAGACGTTATAAGTATGACAGTGTTCGTGACTTATTACGAGTCATGCGTAACAAGTTGAATCATTATCGAGAGCTTCCCACAGAAATACAGGTACTCGTGAAGTCTATGAGCCCATTAGGCTGGGTTTCTGCTTCTGTTTCTACTTTTTGCAGAAGAGCATTACGAGGAAGTCACTCTAAACTAACTTACTTATAATATCTTCTAACCAGACAACTTCTAGTTCTAGATAATTATTGAAGCAGGCCTAAAAACAGCTTCTTAGTTTTAAAACCAACTTATGACTTTTAAAAAGCAGTGCCAAACGAGCCCACAGCTATGAAATCTGTGCCAATTGTATTTTTTATCAGACGGCAACTATGAAATCTTCTTTACCTTTTATAATACCACGTGATGTTTATGAGTTACTAAAGTTCATCGGTGGTTTTTTATTTCAGGAACTAATCGGATCGGTTCCAGAAGGATTTGATAGGTATTTTAAGACTAGGTTCCCAAAACTATTGATCGAAGTATACAAAGCCGTGTATACATACTGTAGAGAGGAAGAATGGTTTCTCAAGTACTTCAAATGTACGACATTGTAGTTACTTGTATTAGAAGATTTATGGTCCATTATATACTGGGCTTTATACGTACAACAGGTGTATACATACATATGTAATCCCAATGTAAAGCGCACTCTGAGCACTGATAATAATGTAAAATTTGTAAGTCAAATGTTGTTCTAATTGGTGTTCACGGATTCTCTGCTGTGGTTAAATCTTAATAATTTGTAGTAGCAGAAAGGTGCTTTTGCAGCCTCGTCTTGAGTCACCCCTAGCGTGAACTTTTGACAAGATGACTCAGATTAGGAATAGTGTGAATTGAATTTGTTTATGATCGGTATGAAATCGTTAAGTAGACAGAGGAACATTAATTCACTTTTGAAAATCATCCTACTTCCTAGTACAGGACTAAAATTAACGAATCTTTCAACTTCCTAATGATATAGAATCCTCAATTTATACAATATACTTGCTTATTTAGTATACAGTGATAAGTGTATTTAATACGCTTATTTGGGGTCCTAAGATATCGATATTTAATAGTTTTTTTATAAAATATATTATAAATTGTTGTATTTTATATTATATAGGTAAAACTCAATGGTTAAATGAAGAATTGGAAGAAACAAAAGAAAAAAAAANAAAACTCAATGATTGAACGAGGAATCGAAAGAAAGAAGTGAAAATGACAAATTCAAAGTTTGAGGATCCAATTACAAATATTCAATAGTTGATTCGGATCACATGATGATACTTTGAAGATTCTTAGGAGATAATTGGATGGAATTAGAATTTAAAAAGAAATGGAATATGATTAAAATATTATCAAAATCAATTTCCAATCGCACAAGTTATATTCTAGATTTTTAGTAAAAAATTGAGACCCAATTTTAGCATAGTAAACGTCCAAATTGAGAAAATTATATTTCTAACAAAGTTATATCCCTTTAAGTTAGCTTTCCAACACACTTTGAATTGCCTCAATAGGATATTGGGAGAGAAAGTCATGCCAAAATACTGACTGTTGTGCAGAGATAAAAAAAATAAAATAAAAAAACCTTCAAACGCGGAGACAACTTTTCTTATTCAATTGGAACTCTTTTAGAAATCAATTTGTTCTTGATTTTCAATCAATTTTTTACTCCTACAAATACAGAATATCAGAATACATATTAGAGACCTCTCATATACATCTCATACTCTAATATTCATCGATTATTATTATCAAATGAGGAAAATTCATAGTTTTTGTGAGAAAATTGAAAGAGACTTGTGAGAATTTCGATTAAGTGAAGATTCAAACTTGATTTTTGGACAAAGAAGAGAAGGCGTAAGTGGAGATTTATCAAAAAATCATTGACCATATTCAAGACTTCAAAATTTATCTTTACCTTCATCTTCTCAATTTATCAAAAATTCGATTTATATCTTTTCACTTAAATATGATTTTTTGTAATTTCGATATATTAGGCTAGTCTTATACATTGTTAGGATGAGATGAACCCTTATTATGATATTATTAATTAATTATTTTAACTTTAATTTGATTTGATTTATGGATATTTTTTATTGTTTTTATCGTTCTTTTCAATTGTTTAATCACCAATTGAATTGTTAGTGAATTTTATTATTATCTAGAGAGACAATAAATTTTAAACACAATATAATAAATATTGTAAGATTCGATAGAGGATAGAGATATACCTCTATGTAGTCAATGGTTTCAAAGAGTGTTCTAACATTTTTAATGTATTTATCATATTTGTATCTTTCATCAAGAAATAGAAGGGTCACATGAGGGGAATATAATTGATCGCTATCGAGAAGGACTTTCAATTAAACCAGTAGCATTAACCAACATGAATAATATCAAATTGTCACTTTAATTGTTGCACTAAAAAAGGAATAATAAGGGGAATTCAATATCTTAGCAATGCATTTCACATATTTGAAAAACACATTTATTTACTTTCATTAGTTTAATTGATAATTTAGGTATTACTATAGAAAAAGTCACAATTTGTTTGTTATTCGATTAAAGTTGCAATTAATTTTAACTTGTTCAAATACATAGTTCTCGTGAGTTCGACACTCTTTTCATTATTATATTACTTGAAACGACCCCGTGCACTTGCGAATTTTCAAAAGATCATGCAATACTAAATCTTCGATAGAGTTGGGACTGCAGAAAAAAAAAAAGATCACCATATTGTTGCTAACTCCACCTTCACACAAGCAAAATTACTTCAGCTGATATACTCTTCTTATGATTGTTATAGCACACTGGCTACTCACCACGTCCCATAGGCCATAACAACTGATTATTAAGAACTCGTCTTCCTCTGTTAAGACAACCTCTTCCAGCTCGGGTTTTGAGCTTATGGGAGATTTTGAACCTTTAGAACCCTTCATTTGCGACTGAGAGCTAGCCATTGAGATAGCCGTCATAGATGACTTCCCCGAGCTTTTCTATCCCAATTCTTTCAAAGGTACAATTTGGTTGTGATATTTTGACAGTTTGATCCAAGGACATAGCCAAAAATAGACGTTGGGGTGGGCTGTAATTTAATTTATAAATGTCCATGTTTGGCTCACTAATAACATACTTGTAAGAAAGTTAATTTATAAACAAATATGTTTTTAATAAGTATTTCTTTTATTAACTAAATAAAATAGAGCAAGTTACTTATTTTAGTAATAACATCTATTTTATGGTCAAATAAGTATATTTTGAACTTGTAAGTGTGAATAAATAATATATGAAATCTCATATAGTTCTAAAAATGTAATTAATTTTAAGCTTATTCAAACACGTAGATTCTCTTAATGCTAAAATAAATTATTTATTTTTTTACTTCAATCAATAAAAATATTATTATTTCGCGCGAGTTATCGTTAACAATTAAAAAGTATTCAGACAATTGTATAAGGAACGGACCTCTTGAGACAAAGTCCCAAAAATGGGTGTTTTATTGGCGAAGATTTACAATCGGAAATAAACAGAATGCCTCCAAGTGGCACAAGCACACGAGTACTAGAAAGAAATATTTTTAAAGTTAAACTAAGAAATTGAAATTATATATTCTCTGTTTGAGAGTGTTTTTTTTATCTCATTTCTTCTATGCCTTCTCTTCCTTTTTATACTCCTTTGATAATTTCTCTTATGAAGAACTGCTTGAAAATTGCTTAGTGTTCTATACCTTTCCACTTTTTTCATGATGGCTGATTGGTCGTGAAACTGCCACCTTTAACTATTGCCATTATTCTTGTCATTCAACCGTTCACCATTGGGATCTTTGGATCGTGGGGTGTGATGATATTGCTCAATAACCGTTTCAATAACTACTGTTTTGGATAACTATAGTATCTCATATTTGCTAAGATCTTGGGCGATTCGAAGATTTGGACGAGAACGGGCTCATTCGTCCTGGGCGACCGTAAATCATTCCATTCGCTCAGACTATGGGTGTCTTGCAAGTTTGGGCGATGAAGCTACTTTGTTCTTGGGCCTCCATTACATTCATCAGTGGTCCTATTGGGTCTTTATCCTGGACTTCCCAATTGGGCTTCATTCCTTGGGCTACTTAATTTGGGGCTACACTTTTTGTATGTCAACAATTCCCCCTAATATGGCAAAATTAATATCCATTATTAGTCTTTGTCATATTCTTCCTTTTCATTTCCTGGAAAAGGTACAATGTTACAAACCCCTATAAACCCAAAAGACAAGCCACTTCATCGAACCATTACCTTCATGCCCGTACATCGTGCGTTCTATAAAAATCACTGGTCATCGTCTTGCTTCATCACTACACTTTTCAAGAATTTTCACCAAGACCATACTTTATTGCAAATGGCGACTCCACAAATCCCTTCTGATAGTATTTTTAGTTTCGAAGACTTCCAAACTCTCCTTACCAGGCCAGATATAAATTCGACTTTTCTCTCATTAGCTAACTTAGACATCAATGAATTCTATCTGAACCCATCATTTACAGACATTGATTCTATTGGGAAAGCGGCGATGGGTCAGTTATTCCCTTGTACTCAAGATCCTCCATTCCTGAATCCGTTTCCTTTGAAGCCAATCTGGGAATGAGGTATTCGTACTTGGCCTAAATCTGATTCTACTTTTTGTTTTTGGTATGCATGCTTGGTAAAACATGGTCCCACCAAAATAATTTTTGATCACGCTGGGATTTCAGATTTATTAGAAATTGCACTTCATCTCCCAATTTATGACCCGGTGCTTTTCCGACTGCATTGAATTTTTGGTCTTCTAAATATAGTACTTTTATTTTTTTCCTTGGCCCAATGTCTGTCACCCTGATAGATGTTGGAGCCCTAGTAAATCTTCCGCCCTTGGGCGATACCATTTATCCTGGCATTTTGGTTACTAGTACTGCCCCAAAGTTTGACAAAAACTTACTAAGTCCTATTCAGGTATGCAGGGTCTTTATACCGCTTCCAGCTCTGAGCCTTCTCATATTGAGCGTGTAGCCTTTCTTCAGGTTTGGCTCTTTAAATATTTCCTTTGTGTGCCTAGCATGAAACCTTCGATGAGTTATTTACCCATAGTGAATGAGCTAGCACGTGGTAGACCTTTGAATCTTTGTTCGTTTTTCTTAGCTGCCTTTTATAGAAACATGGCTTCCCTCCAATTTTAGTTGAGGACTGGTGCATCTCCCACTGGGAGTGGGGCTCCTTGGCTATCTCAATTGTGGTTGACACATACTTTCCACAACTTGGTACTCCACCATCTCCTCAATGATCGGTTAGTTGCTATGGGCTGTTCATCCATCAATTAGATCCCATAAATATGTCCAGCAGAGACCTTTTTACAGTATTTTATACTTTGAATTCACATCTTTTTTCCCTTTTTCTCCTCACCAAAATCCTCTTTACGTACAGCTTCCGTCTTCTTTAGCTGAAGTAAGCGCTTCATTGCCCATCTGGGTTCAATTTTTGGTTGGGAAGGAACTATTCCATGACATTGTTATAGGAACAAATGCCAAGGCAAGGGTTGAGATATATGCTCC